CCAAATCGAATTACGGTACCACCATGAATGGCCCTAATTTTAACGCCTAGCTATCCCCAAATTATAGCCAACTACGCACCACTCTTCAAGCCGGCAATCTTCGGTGCAGAAATCGACTCCCCGCGCGCGCACATCCAATCCCAAAAAAAAAACGCTACGATATTTGGTTGTGTGGGCCCCTCCTCCTGGGCAGCTGGGCCCACAATGGGCCCCATTCACCCCCACCACCACTACCACTCGGGTTCCGCCACGACGACAACGAAACCCTCCATTAGCCGGATGGGGAAGGTCCATTGACATTTCCTAAAACTGAAATTGGCTATTCTGAAGAGGGGTTACTGTACTTTTGGGCCCCGTAAAAGAAGAAGCTCAAAATTTTGTGTCGTCATCACCACCTCTCGGGTCGTGGAGACAAAACATTTATGTGTCACAATATTCCGCGAGGGGCAACGGTTTTCGGGGGAATTTTATAGTTTCGGATTCGACTGCTCAAAAATGCGAAAAACTATGGAAATATTTGTCTGTCTGACTGTCTCTCTCTTTCTATCTATCGCTTTATCTCCTTCTCTCACTGTATGTTGCGATATTTTCAAGGTCGTTGCAGTGCCTTTAATCGCTATTAATGCTCCAAATTTTTAGATTCTCTCGCTCTCTCCCCTTCTCTCCTCTCTCTCTCTCTCTCTCTCTCTCTCTCTCTCTCTCTCTCTCTCTACTATTCCTAAATCTCGTCCCTTCCCAGCCCCTTTAATCCTCCAAACCTTGCCTTGAAGTTCTGTGGCCCCTACCGTGTCTTCCCCCTGCCCATTCCCTTGTTTGAACGCGTTATCTTGTGCTGTTCATAGGGGCGTAGCGTCCTTCTCCCTGTGCCTTTCACCCTTCCATTCGCCCAGATAAGGCTTTATCTCCCTCGAAAAACCGTCATTCCCCTCCCCCGGCTGTCTCATACACCGCCCCTCTTTTTGTTGCCCGGCTATAATACTGTTTCGATGGCTGGTCATTTCATTAGTTAAAGTATGCCAATACTTTTAGGCGGCAAAATTCCGAATTTTACTCTTGACGCGGTGGTAATATTATTTTTATTAAATTTACCTCCGTGGATGACCACTTCTTTGCTCAGGGTACCACCAGACTTTCTACTTTGCATAATTCGGTGCTTTTGCATTATCAGGGGGGGGGAGAGTTTTCTGTTCTTTAGGACCCCTGGTTCTGAAACGAATAAAAAAAGTGTTTCTAAACTGTTTTTAATACTTCTAAATGTATAAACTTTGCAAATTTTATCAAAAATTCAAGGAAACGACAGATTTTTCGGCAAAAATGTTGTATTTAAAGCTTTTCTAACCTTTTTTACATAGTATTTTCTGCGTGAGTTTTTTTACTTTGAACTTTACTTTACTTCACTTTTTTGTGAATTATAATTTTACTACACCATGAAAATAGTATTTTTACGTTGCTAGACATTTCTGGATTTGTAGGACCTCCCCCCGATGACGCAAAAGAACGGAAAATTCGTCATTCTCTTGACATCTCTACCTTATCATCCAAACGTCTTTTAATATAGTTTTTTTCTTCTAGGAATGCAATGTACCCACCGGAAGACTTTTTCCTGCTGATGGTCGAGCCGCAGGGGCCGTTGGATTTGGACAAAGGTGTTTTTTTAATTGCCTTACTTCGACCTTAAAGGCGTATTTTTTATTTATAAATAAAGTAAATTTTTTAATTTAATTTTAAGATTTGTTTATCTGATTTTTCAGATCTTCCCCCAGCCCCGGAAGCGCCGTCGAAGCGATGCCCGTCCCCTGCGCCGTCCACCTCGACGGCGTCGACCACCTCCACATCCCCAACAACCCCAAATCCGACACCCCAAAAATATCCGCTGCCACTTCCGGCCCCGCCGATACATCAGCAAATATTCCCGATGCCGCCGGTGGGTTGTTATGATTTTTTAAGGGTTGAATAGCTGGAAAAAATACACGAAAAGTATTTCTTGCAGTTTTGAACATTTTTATAGGGGTTCCGGTTTTTTTATTAAGCAAATAGAAAAAGGAATTACACTTTTCAGAAGAGAGTTATGAGTTTTTAAGAGTTCCAGAGTTTACCTAGTTTTCAAGATTTTTGGAAAATGTGGAATAGCATTTGGCGTCACCAAAAAGGTCAAAAAACTATTTACTGTTTTGCTAAACATTTTTGGAATTTCTATATTTAAAAAGGCGCGGGAAGGCTTTTAGATATGGAAAAAGCTTAAATAAGTAAAAATTACCGGGAAAACACATAATTAGAGAAACTTAGTATCTAAAAAAACACGATTTCTCGGCTTTTGCGACGCGTTTTTGGAAAGCGCATCCTATTTGCTTTTCCGCCTATTTATCGTTGTTATATACTTTTATGACTATTACTTCCATATTTAGTTGCTGACCAACACCCCAAACGGCCCGTTCTTCTCGCAAATGTTGGCCCAACTGCCGCCCCACTCTTCCGCCGCCTCAACCGCCCTGCCCAAGCTGTTCGCTCCGCCAATCCCAATGCCAGCAATGCCCTACCAGCTGCCGTTTAATGTAGGTTTTTAATACAGGTTTATTGTTTATGGTTACACAGCTGTAACGTATCTGTAAATACAAAGATATCTAGTTATTTTAAAGTATTTTTATTAATGTTTTTATGGTTTAAACCCGATGTTTTTAATATATTTTTTCATCAATTTCCAAAGCGGCGACCTTCTACCATAGCTTTAATACACTCTCCGAGGCTCTATTTGCTGATAATTCGATGCCCCGTGGTCACCCTTATCAGCCGGGTCGGCCGGAATTTAGCTGGCCACCCCCAGGGTTGCACTGTCATTTCGGCGCATCACAAAACGGATACAGTAATCTTAAAGGAACGAGGAAGTAGTGAAAGAGGTTTTTGAATACAATTTAACCTAGTTAAAATTTTTCGCAAGTAGCCTTTCGCCACATCGAAAAATGATCCGATTTTTCGACTTTTTGAGGTTGCCTAGTAGATTTTCTTGCGTTCAAAAATTTTGCATTTAACAAGTTGGTCTTAATTATTTTAATAATGTATTAAGCTCTTTATTTTTCAGCCACATATGCCCTTCTCGATTGCCTCCATCTCCAGCTCTACCGCGCCGATGCCAATCCAATTTCCGGCCACGGTGGAATTGCCCGTGAAAGGTACTTTCAGTTTTTTCTTCTTTTTTTAAAGCTTGAAGCTACGCTTTATAAAAAGATATTTATATTTAGCTTTTTTTCAGCGAGTACCTCCAAGCCAACGCCACCTCCTCCTCCTCCACCTCCTCCGGCGGCGCCAAAGGTTGACGCACGCGAGAAGCGGAAACGGAAAATCGCGAAAATGAGGGTAGGTTTGTCACTGGACGGATTTTTCTCCTTAAATTTTTTAGAAAAATTATTTCGCAAACCAGAAAAACAAAAAACAAATTGTTTTCGTTCCAAAATCCGGCGCACTGACCTTCGATTTCCAGGTTAAACAGGTTTTTAAAATGTTTTTCCCTGGCTCAAATGGTTGGGCTGTTTTTTTTACGTTACGTTACGTTACGTTTTCTACGAAGAACCTAAAATAATTTATGTAGGGCTCTGCAATTTTTAAAATAGGCCAAATTCTTCCAGAAAGAATCCCCAGTCTGGGAATACATCGTCCAACGCCGCCCCTTCTTCCTGCTGGTCAGAAAAGTCGACGGTGTCGCAGCCATTTTCCGCGAAATTGAGCGGTTGTTTCCGCTGGGGTGTGGCATGGCAAGAGTTGAGGTAGGAGCATGAAAAACAAGTCTTCTTCTTTATCTATGTTTTTTAAATATCTGAACCGGAAAGCAGTTCATAAAACCCTATTTTTAGCTTATCGAGCTCGTCGACAAATCGACACCCTCGGCGCAGGAGAATTTTGAAGCGCCTCCCGTGCTTGAAGCCGAATGCCTTGAGGTGAGTTATAAAACGTAGTATACTTTACATTATACCAAAAGTTATGAAACGTCGTATATACATCAAATACTATAAAATACGGGTGCTTTCGCGTTATCGAGGGGGGCTAGCCAACTTTTTTCCTTAGGATCCAATTGTTCCACTGTAAATAGCAGTTTTTTTCTAAACACTTTCTAACTAGTTATAAATGTAAAAAACTTGCCAATTTTCATTGTAAAACTCTATTAAAAAAGCTTAATTTTGACCAAAATTTCAAAGCTTCATATGTTTTTAGATAGTTTTTCGACGTGAAATGTGGTTAATTTTCAAAAAACACGGTTAAAACCCGTTCTTACATTTCTTAGAATGCTTCAAACACTTTATTAGGCCTTCCTGGACGTCTAGAAAAAAAATCGGTCCCCCCGATAACGCAAAAGAACCAAAAAAAACTGAAAAAAAGCTCGCAGGAAAAGCATCACCACCGCCTTATTTTCAGCTCAAATTCCCGGAAGACTGCCAGCCGGCCGCCAAGAAACGGCGCTTGAAAACCGTGCAAAGCTAAGATCAAGTGTTCGTATTTATTAAGTATTTTTGTTTTTGTTAATGTACATAAATTAAAAACTTTCCTTGCGTTCCGAGCCTATACCATTCCGCTTCGATACCTCGTGCCGTTTGTAGCCTGTATTTTCGAGTCTTCCAACGTGCCAGCTTTTTTATTCCTTCGCCATTTTTGTTTGGTTCTGTTGCTTTAGCGGGGGGAGTGCTTGTGTGTGTGTCCCCCGCTAACGAACCAGAACCTTTTTTCTGAATTTACTTTTTATCCCCCTGCCAGTCATTAGCCTGTGTCTTCCACCGCCATCGCTTTCTCTCTCTCTCTCTTTCTCTCTCGCTCTCTCTCTCTCTCTCTCTCTCTCTTTCGCACGTGCCGTCATTGCATAATTCGGGTTGTATTTAGACCTTGAAATAAAATTTATATTTATATTATTAAGTTTATTATTAGCACATAAACAGAGCACAAATAACAACGACCCGAATGAAAGACAGAAAGAGGGAATGATCGGAATGGAATGATAGGCAAAACCCGTCGATTTAGAAGCGCGAATCGATCAAATACGGCTGATCCTCGGCCGGGTTCAGGATTTGGATCTAAAAGGGTTTTAATTCCTAATTTTATTATTTAATTAATTTTAACGTAAATTTTTAATTTTTTAATTCTATTCTAAAAATTTTAACGTAATTAAAACAAAAATTTTTACGATAATAATACAAAAAATTGGATTTTTCGATTAGAAACGCCGATTTTACTTAAATTCAAATTGTCCAAGTTTTTCAGATAGTTTTGCCACTTAAAATATGTTACATTTTTCTAAGGATAATAATAAAATACTTTTAATCCGCCCCCTCGTTAATGCAAAAGCACCTTAAGAGATATAAAACAAGTTCAACCCATATTTGATTCATGAAGGGCCGTTATAAACCATATTTTTCGAAATAAATTTTCTGTATTTCTATGATAATATAACCTACAGAATTGCTATTTAGCTGTTGCTGATCAAGCCGTGAAATCGTGTCGGCCAGCTCTTCCTAAAAATTCAGATTTTTCCCCAACTTTAGAGTTCTTCCCTACCATTTCCAGATCCAAGTTCGACTGGGGCAACTTGGCCGGCTTCAAAGCCGGCTCCTGACGTTTTATCGACAGCTTTGAAAAACCGATTCTAAAATTTAACGATATCGATTTCAAATCTTTAAATTACCCAGAATTTTGCCCGGCCGCCATGTGTCGATTTGAGGGGTGAATTAGGCTGAAAAATGAGGATGAAAAGCTACGGTATTTACTTACATATTACTGAGCGCCATCAGACCTCCAATAGCCGGGGATCCCTCGGACCATCGGAGATTCGGATCCGGAATCGCGTCCAGCCGCTTCAACTGCTGCACCCGAGGCTTGTCCGATTTTTCCTTTGAATTCTGGAATCAAAATATTGTTAATAGATTTTTTGCTTACATAATTCGGTACTGGACTGTTAGCGGGGGGGAGCTAATTATGATTTTCTAGCATTTTAACAGTTGCTATACCTGTTAAGAACAATTTTTGCCCTAAAAAACTATATTGCAGGATTACTGGGGGAAAATCGGTCCCCCCGCTAGGAGTCCACTACCGAAAACTCCTACCTTTGTATCCAAAACATATTCCAAAGCTTCTCGGAACAGATCGAAAACAGTATTGTCACTTTTGTTGCCCTTTCCTGGCTGCTCTAAAGGGATTGGACCTGCAAAATTAGCATTATTATTAAAAGTTGGTAATTTTTCACCCACCGATAACATTATGCGGAAGCCTTGGTTTCGGCCCAAGCTCGGGAGATATTCGAATTTTCGGCTCGACTAAATTTTCTGGCTATCATCATAGAAAGCTACGCAACACTACCCTTTGCCGGTCCGCTGGTGGTGGGCGGAAGAAGCGGAATTGGGGTATACGAGGTTGTCAGCATGTAAGGATGCGTGGTATAAATTTTGGGATGTGGTGTCGTCATTTCTAGGTCTCTTCTCGGTTCCGGGTGAGGCTAAATACATTTTTTAAAGGTATGTATCTGAAGCCAACCTGGTAATTCTGAGTCTGAGGTCTGGTCAGCACCGGATTGGGCTGATCTGTGTCGCCGTCCAATGTAGCGGCGGGCTTCTAAAATATTTTATTTTTTCTTTATCTTTAAAAGCATTTTTTGAAAACTTGACAAATTTCTGCTAAAAACACTAAAAAATATAGATTTTTTTCCTCAAAAAAATTGCCGATTTTTACCGCAATTTCAAAAAGCTCGTTTTCGATAGTTTATCACTTTAAATCTAGTTAAATTTTGATAAAACGCGATTAAAATATTTAGTATTACGTCGCCAGGCATTTTTGGAGCGTTCGGAAAATCCCCCCGATAACGCAAAAGAACCATTTAATCTTGAAGCGTACCCTTGGGAAAACCTTCGTCTTGACGTCGTTCATCTGGTATTTTGCCGTCTGTCGGAAATTTCTCTAAAAAGCCTAATTTTCAAAAACGCCGAACGGACTTTGGTTTGCTGCGGTCGACGCCGATCCCTCCTGGTCAACCTGCGGCCAGCACGGAGTCTCTTCTTGCGAAGTCGCCTCAAGTTAATCGGTGCGGCCACCATGCCGTAGTGTCTTTGCTTGGAGGATACGGCATTCTAAATTTTGTATTTTGGACCAAAAAGTTCGAGTAACCTCTTTCCATGCAGATGGCTTTCCGCCATCCAATCCGGCCACTTTTAGCAGTGCTTTGTTTTGTTTTTCGACTGGGGGATCAAGTTGTAAAGCTGGTGTAGTGATATTCACTTTTGGAGTTGTCGTAAAAGCCGTTGTCGTAGTCGTTACAATCTAAGTATTTTTTTTTTTTTTTTGTTGTACAAAATAACCAACCTTTTCCGTTGTTGTTTCCTCATCTTGTGCGCGGTAGATGTCCAGGGGATTCCTGAGAAAAACGACATTCTTGAAAGGGTACTGACCTGTTATCGGGGACAGATTTTATTTTCCCGGCTACCGGTTACTAAGATATTGTGTATTTCATAGTTTTTTTATTAGTTTTTGCATGGCTAGAAAGTTATAACAAAATCTGATCATTTTTGAAACCGTGAAAATATGGGCTGTTTTGCTTTTTTCATACAAATTAAGCCGAAAAGTTAAAATTTAGACACTTTTCTAGTTTATACGTGTTTATAACTAAAAAAAGCATATCTGAAGATGGGTTAAAATAACTTATATTGTTTGTCGAGCCGTACGAGATTATTGGTAAAAAAATGTTTTCGCCCTAACCCCCCCTCCCCGCTAACAGCACAGCATCATGAAATCCTCGGCCAAAATATAGATGGCTACTCACCGATCGAGAAAAGCCAGTAACGCATTTTCGGGGCTCAACGTTGCTTTCTTAGGCTCCTCCTGCTTGGGCGCCTTGGCCGGGATGTGTAGCCTAAACTGTTTTTCTGTTATATAAATTTCCACCAACGTTTTTGACGCATCTGCTCGCGGCTTTTCCTTTGGAGTAACGGTCGTAACTGGCTTAGTGGCGGAATCGGCTTTTCGGTTTGGGGTCCTAAAAGTAACGAAATAAAAATACTCATCGAAACCCACCTTCGGATTTCCGGGTGGACCGGGGTCGGAGAGGTGCTTAATCTGGCGGCTTCCCGGAGGGCCGTCATTTCTGTCGGGCTGGCTTTGATTTGAGGAGGGAAAAAGGCGTTCTGAAAATCGACAGTTATCATTTTGTTTCTTGTGCTTATTAACGTAATAGTAGGTGGTTTAATAGCCTTCTTATTAAATTTTGGCTATATTTCAAGGGGGGAACTATCTAATAACTTTTAAAAATCGCAAATTCGAAATTTTGCGTCGAAAAATCGAGATTTTTGTATTTTAAAAAATGCGTACAATTTTAACGACTAGAAGCAGTAAAAACGGTTTAGAAACACTTCCGCTATTTTAGAAAGAACTGGATCCTAAAGAAAATATCCTCCCCCCCCGATAATGCGCAAGAACCCGGACGTACCTTCAATTCCTGCACGATTGATTCGGCGGTAGCGTCCTCGGGTGTGATGGGATAAGCCGTGGTGGTACCATTATAAACTCTCGAATTCATCTGCTGCACGATGGCATTAACTTGGCGATCGAGGAAGTTGTTTGTCGGCTCGAGCGCCTCCAAAACGACCGGCATCCGGTTACGATATGAAGTTGTGGTGGGAGCAGGTGTTGTAAAATCTAAATTTTCTTTTAGTACTATATTTATAACGATGCGGAAAATACGTAAAAAACAATCCCACCGTCGTCACGCACTTCGTCTACAATCGTCGTCTCATAACGTGGGCCTACGGTTGTCCTCAGTGATGGGTGAATTTTCTAAAGTTACGTTTAAAAGATAACAATACAAAAACTGAAAATTTTGCGGTACTGGAATCTTAGCGAGGGGACCCAAATTTTTACAGCAATTAGCACAATTTTTTAGATTTTTCCTCAAGGTTCTTTAGATTTTTTGAACCTTTTTCCCAATCAAAAATCACCAAAAAACGTTATAAAAATACACTGTATATTATCAACACGGATAGGCGAAAAAAACAAAGAGTCCCCGCCAACAGTCCAGTACCTTTATATTTACTTGGTCCCAAAAATTACCCCTGCCTTCTTCGATTTGCCATTCGCGATCAAAAAATCGCCCATCGCCGTCATTTCCCCGGACTCGAGGGCCCTCCATTTTGGAGATGACTGAAATTTTATTTTTACAATAGCTACTACTAAATTTTCAAATCCAGCCCCTGTCACCCCCGCGGCTCTCCCTTTCCATCCGGTTTCCAAAAAAGCGAGGGTTGAAAGGGACACTTGAAGGAACTGGGCCGGACCGGTACGATATGGATCTGACCTGGGGGCTGTCGGGCTGCCGCTTCTTCGGCTCGATCTCGATCCTGGTCGGTTGTGGCTGAAATGGGATTCCGATGATGCCGTCGCAAAGTGCAAGATCAGTAATGACCGAGTTTTTTACTGGGAAGTTACTTACAACGGTCGTAGAACTGGGTTGCGCCGGTGTTGTTGTCGTGGCTTCCTAAAATTTCGAGATTGAAGTTGGGGTTTTTTGTATTGCCAGCGCGGATCTAATTTTCTGAAGCCATACAAGCCCAGTAGCGTCATAGATCATATGTTACTAACGATTTAATACAATTTAACTATGTTTTAAGAGAGAAAGCTACCGAAACCTAATGTTTAAACCAAAATCTAAACTGTTGTTCGAAAAAAGCCATGTTTGCGCGAAAAATCTCTATATTTTTAGTCTTTTTAATCAAATTTTGTAAGGTGTTTGACCTTGAAAATGATAATAAACAGTGTAGAAACGCCTTCTTTAATTACATTGCAAAAATTGGATCTTAAGAAACAAGTTTTTTTCTTCCCTAAAAGCCCAAAATCAACAGCCTATCCTACACAAAGCAGTCTATTTCTAACTTACATTATCAGCTATGATCGGCAATGCCGTACCAGCATGGCCCCTTTTCCATGGTTTCCGCCTACGATACCGCTCACTCGACTTCGGCACGGCCATCTTCACCAGCTCCTGCTCGTTTTCCACCAAGGGCACCGCCACCGTGGCCCTGGTCCGCCCGGCAAATGGACGTCGTGTGTACGGGGCCAGTGTTGAAGAAGGAGCTTCAGACGGCTTGGCATCACTTGCATCTTCAGTACCATTCACGGCAAAATCGATGCCATGAAGATGCAACTTCGTCAAATCCAGCTGCACCTTGTTTCCGGTCTGCGGCCCGATCGCCGCCATCAGGGCTTGCAGGCTAATGGTAGGCATCCCGGTGGTAGGGATCGGTGTGGTGGGAGACTAGAAATAAAAAGACATTCATGTCAAGGTAATAAAAGAAAGTTTATGGGTATAATTACCAAAGATGTCCCCGAAGGCCCGACCGGGATGGCCCGGGAGCCAGTGGGTGAGCTGGCATCCGGCACGAGCAAATATTGTGCTGACTCCCCATTCGGGCCAGTGGCCGTAAAAACTTTTGCTGTTGGCTCCTAAAGCAAAATGCTAGCTATTTTCAACTTTCAGAACCTTACGGCGGTATAGCTAAACCGGACTAGCGTCAGGATCAGGAGCGGCACCGGGCCATACATCCGCTAAAATAGGGAGGAATGCCCGAAACTGTGTAGGGAAAAAAGCATAAAAAGCCGTTCAGAAGACGTGAAAAAGCAGAAAAAGACAATAGCCACCTCAATGTTTCATTCTACTAAATCCAATAACCATAATGCACTTCCAGCGTTTGAAAAGCCGCTCCTCAAGGAATGCCTACACCCTAATTGGGACAGAAAGTGTGAAAAAAGTGAAATCTGTTTGTGGCCGGTGGGTGAGTGGGTCGATGACCCCCACTATGGCTGGGAGGACCAAAAAAACGGCAGCAATCACTGACAAAGAGAAGGAGCAGAGGCGGATCGGATCGGGTGCCCCAATGAGAAACAATATAGGACAAGACCCTCCCGACGAAAATCCTGAAAATCCCCGACGCAGCCTTTTTCCTGCCGGGCGAGTACAGATACGCATCTACCCCCCAACCTCCTCCTCCTCCTCCTGCGGGCGCTATTCGGGGAAAGTCACTAGAGAAGAATTACGGCCGTCGTCTTGTGTTCGACACAGTCGATAAAACCTCAAGCTCGCAGCGCCATGAGTAAAGCTAACTCAACAGCAACTTTATCAATTATCCGCCCCTAGTATCAGCCAATTCCAAAGCCCCTGATCTCAAGAAGAAGTTTATCTTTGGCACAAATTCACAAGTTAGCAAGGTATTAGAAAAACTACCGCATTCAGTTTTTGATCTGGTTCTGATTTTCATCATGAGAATCCTTGGATGGTTGAACATGTTCGTGAGGGTGATGCTGAACATGATGGCTGGCCAATACTTCGAGCGAGCGCATCACAAAGGGCAGGGCCAAATCCGAGTAAGCCATGACGAAGATCCAGGAAACGACAAGATGAGTGGGAGCCTAAAACAAAAACTGTGATAACCAGCCGAAATATTACCAAAATCGTATAGAGTATCAGGTAGGGGATCTCGCTGCTGGAGGTGAAGCTTGGGCTTTCTGGATAGAGCTGGTTGAGGACGTAGAGTAGAGCGAAAGCAGGGCCCAGAGCAGCTAGCAGCGACATCCCGAGACCGAGTGCCATCCGAGCTGGAAGCCGTGTGGTAGACGATGTCATCCCACTACAGAAAAAATAATCCAGTTTCTGGAGGAAAAGCTTGGTAATTATTTGCGCTCAACGCCGGATAAAAAATTAACAAATCAGCACGGTTAATATTTATTCAACAAAACAACCAAACAAAAACAAGTTGTGCATTTATTTGTGGTGCTTGCGCATGGCGATCAACACGTCCTGGAGCTCGTCCCGCTTGTTCTTGGCACGACCGTGGCCTCCGACGCGTTTCTTCAAAAACTTGAGCGCCTTCTTGTCCTTGCTGATCTTCAGATATTCCATGGCGCGGCGTTCATACGGGGCGAAGCCACCGATTTCTCGAACAAGCTCGCGCACTGCCTAAACAGAAAAAAAACAGATATAACGAACAAAGATTCCGAGGCGAAACGCAGAAAATAGTTTAACCGTAAAACGCACCACAGCTTTCTTCGACTTGACTCCTTTTCTGCGGCTCTGTTGCGCCTTCAGTTCAAGCTTCGTGGCGTGGAAGCCTTTGTTGAGGCCGCGGGCGAGGGCTTCGACTGCCGGGCTGGACATTTCGCTGCTGCCTGGAAATGGAAAATTAATACTTGTTTAGAAAAATCTATAAAATATGATAAAGGAAATTTTTTGAACAACTTGTTTTTCAACGAAATAACGATTTGAAAATTTCCGCGCAAATTCGATGTTCCGTATTCCACATTATACCGCCTACGTGCTACTGTAAAGTGGCGCGTGTCGGAAAGCGCTCTGAAATAAAAATAAACTTTTTATTGTGCTTTTTTCGTTATTTTTAATTCGAATTTAACTTTTTTGGTGAATATATCTGCTTTCTTTTTATTCACTTTCACTGTATGAAAACGAACGGTTCTTTGTGAATGCGCATGACTCCTTTTCGTTGTTGTCATAGCCACCGTTCCCTGAGCCCTTTGCCTTTTTGTTTCGTTTTATGGCCCAATTAGGGTGTTCTCCAGGGAACGTTTTCCTGGACGAGCATTGCCTTGTTATTGCTTCCAGGTCAATCATAGCCTCTCATCGGGGGGCTTGATCCCAAATCAAATCTCCAATGGTACCTAGATTTTTTAGCTACTTCAATATTCCGGAGATCCGCCTCGACCCCCCTCGCCCTCTTCGGCGAGGTTAAAGCGGCGAGGGCAAATTGGTGGTTTGCGGGCAATTTCCCCCTCTAACTTTCCCGCAGCCTCTCGGCACCTTTCCGCGTAATGAGATTTCCGTAATTTAGCCCGTGCCACGTATAGGCGTGAGGGGGGGAATGAGCCGAGCGCTTGAGCCTAGAAAACACCTTTCCTTTGGATATCTGAAATAGCAACGCGCAGCCGGTTCCGCGTGGGAATATTTATAAGATGGTAGATTAAGCTTTAGAAATGGG